AAGTCAATATAATGAGATAGCTACTCCTGACAGGCTGGATTTGTGCAACCTGCACAAACACAATACTGCACCATGATTAAAATGGTGAAATACAATGTAAAACTACCAAAAAACACCAGCTCACTAAAACACAACCGAACGAACTACTAACTATACCCGCGGTCAGAGAGTGGAGATGTTTACCCTTTGTGATGTAATATGACGCGTTTCACGCATGTGAGCAGATTTAATTGTAATTTTCAAGCAAGTTTAAGCATAAATGTAGAAAGAAAAAAAAAACCTGCAAGATGCTCTTTAACTGTTTTTTTTCTTTTTGTTGTGCTCTTTCATAACTGTATGTGTATTTATTCTTGCTGACAACAAACAAATATTTAGGAGAACCACAATCTGTCATTATTAATGTGGTTTCTTGTCTTTTACTATCTGTAGGGGGTTAACAGTATTTAGGCCTGTCCCCAGCTTTGTACCCTGTAATTACACGATGGATTCAGTTTGATGTTTTTGGTGCAATGTTTTACATCTACAGGCACTGTACTGGTGAGGCCTGAACCTGTTGACAATGGGAAAGATGACTTCAGGGGTCCTGAGTTTCGCAGCCGGAAACCAGGCGTACTGCGGAGAGAGTTTTCGAGGAGACGTGGAGGTCAGTTGCTACTGGTTGATGTTGTCACAACATAACACAATACTTCATTATAAGCCGGGCAGCCATTTCTTCGAGAAACAAAGAAGCTGCCCTTGTCACTCATGCAATGATTGTCTTTTGACAAAAAACTGTCAAAGTCGAACTAAAAAATCATTTCACTGTGTGTCTAAATGTGGCTTGATGGTTATCTTGTTGTGAGAGATATCCCTGGATATTTGACTTTCATTCTTACACCCTTTTTAAAAACCCTTCAAGCTGTTATAATAGCAATTTTGTTGCTCTGTTTTTATAGGTGGCGAACACATGGAAATTGTCAGTTGCACCGCTTGTGGCAGACAAGTTAACCACTTCCAAAGAGATTCCTTCTACCGACATCCAGTTCTGAACGTTCTTATTTGCAAGGTGAGTCCACCTATTTATACAACAGAATCAAGTCCTTATTTATTTGGGTCCTTTAAGTCATTACTTTTAAGGAGTCGTCTTCATTTTTTATTTATAATTTGTCATGTTATGACGTCATTACTTTCTGCTTGGGTGTTGTTTACATCTAGTGGGTGTCTATAAACTTGCCAATGACTTTATTAAGTTGAATTTGCCAAAAACATTTCTGTATTTGAATTTATATTTTAAAATAACCACCAGTGATATTTGATTATTGCTTACAAGAATATACATATCAATTATGATTTCTAATTTGCAGTACTATTGTCTTTAATATGCTATTTGTCAAAGCTGTCTATAACCCTCTTTCGTTATATATTCTTTGTTTTGGTCAGTCTTGCTACAAGTATTACTCAAGTGATGACATCAGTAAGGATGGAGATGGAATGGATGAGCAATGCAGGTATGATTTGTTATATTTAATATTTTTGCTGAAGTATTAACATGTTAATTTACTTACCTTTTGCTAAGCTTTTATCAAAAGCATGAATTATGTATTTTTCCTCTTGCAGATGGTGTGCTGAAGGAGGCAACTTGATATGTTGTGACTACTGTAGTAATGCCTTCTGCAAGAAGTGTATTCTAAGAAATTTGGGAAGGAAGGAGCTTTCAGGCATCTTGGAAAGCAAGTGGTACTGCTATGTCTGTAGCCGTGAGCCCCTTTGCGATCTGGTGATGGCCTGTGACAGCGTACTCGAGAACATGGAGAACATGTGGTTTCAGCAGCGCAAAAGGAACAGGGTAGAGCCGGAAAAATCTCAACTTTACCACATGTTGCCACACTTGCAACAAAACATTCCTTTGGATAAATGGGATCACACTGGTATGGATGGGAATGTGGTGTTCAACTATAACACACTGCAGATTTCCAAGGAGATCACCAAAAAAGCCAAACATTTAGTGGACTCAACAAACATCTTAAACCGGACATTTGTCAATTTCATTCATACTGTGACGTCAAACAAAAAAGCACCTACGGTTCGCAAGCTGCACCTGAACTCTTTTTTGTCAGTAGTCAAAGGATTGCGAAAATCACTTGCAGCACTTGAGGATAGCCTTAAGGAAGAATTCAGTGACGTGGATGTCATGAGCTGTTGGGAAAAGTTCTTTAGTGAAGACTTCGATGCACAACCTGTAGTAGATTCAGGCACAGAGCCGGAAAGCTCTGAAGAAAGGTGTTTGAGTGTCTTGCGGAAATTGGCAGCCGAACAAACAGAAGATTATGATTCTGACTCCAAAGGCTTCAAGGACAGGAGGACTGCATGTGCCTGCCCCGGTGAAAACATGGATTCAGATTCATGTGAAGCCACACAGAGTGCACAGAAGAATGCCCTGATGCCTTCTGAAAGCGGGATTAACATGACTAAAAAACTAGTGGTTCAACTTACTCCTGTACCAATGGAGCAGGAGCAATCCTCTTGTGCCCCAAAGAATGAGAAGGACATCAGCATGAGCGACAACACATCAGAGGGAAAGGATGTATCAGAAGATGAAAAACCATATGTTAAAGGTGTTAAAGCTGACAGCAAGATAAGCAACAACAACTCTATTGCATCTCTACACCCAGAAGAACAACATGGCAATAGACGTTCTCCCCGCTTGAAGACGACACCTTTGCGGCGACCAAGTGGCGTCAAGTCCAAAGAGTCTCTTTCAGCAGCAGACAGTGACAGTGATTCTGGCCCTGAGGAAACCTCCAGCCAAATACCTGCCAAAAACACTGAAGAACCAAGTCTGAGCCGAGCAAGAGACGACTCTGACTCAGATGAAGTCCCTGTAGCTCTGATTGAGCGATCTGCTATGACACAAAGCTCAGATGAACCCCAGAGCGATGAGAACGGTGGAAAAGCATCAAATAAGGTGGCCAAGAAATGTCTCTTTTGGCTAACAAAGAACTCCCCGCTCTCCCCGGAGAACATGCGCCGAAAACGCAAGATGCTAGACCGCTCCTCAGAATCAGACTCGAGTAATAGAATAACTAAATCACGAAGAGAAAACGGGACAGATTCCTCTAGCGATGATCAAGACTCACAGAAGAAGATGCAACACTTGAATACTTTGAGGCCAATTGGGAAGTCTCCCCTCGTCAAAAGAGATAATGAAAAATCGCCTAAAAAGCCGGTTGGGATACACGCTGAAAAATCTAAGGCTAAATCCCGCCAGAAAGCAATGGAGTCCTCCTCCTCATCAAGCGAAGATGAAGATGATGGCGAAGAGACCGGGAGTGAAGGAAGTGATCAGAAGATTAAGCGAATCACTGAAGATGTGGCCTTACTGGGGGCAGCAGCATTCCACCAATCGTCTGGTGAGTCCCATAATACATATATTATCTAAATATACAGTAGGTCTTGTCAATAGTTGTTTCCCCAGTTTCTGTTGGAAAGCTAATGTTTAATGAATGTTTCTTGTAGGAGACGACGAGGAGCACTCTGGGCCCTCGTGGGCAGCAGAAGATGATGATGATGATCCAGAAAATAGGTATGGTTCAAAAAGCCAGGATGTAGAGCTTGTAAAACACCCTAGTTGTGAAAGGCAGACAACATTAATACCCGAACACTGTGCAAAAGCTAGCAACACCCAGGTCATTAAGACTGAGTTGCAGCCTATTCAAACAAGACCAAAACGTAGCTGCAGCCGAATCCCAGCCTTCAAATACACACGCTAGAGGTACACTGTGAACATCATGACCCATTTTGTGATGCACTGAAACTGAACCGGCCTGGAACAAGCTTGTGAATGATGAGCAACGTACTCTGCTTGTCTACTTTATTTGAACTTGAATTGTATTGCATTTTTTATATAGATCATGCAAAGAATGCTTATCTATGTTTAATTTGATGTGCAATTATACGACTGTAAATGCTTAAGATGCATTTACCTACATTTCTATAATAAGTATTACATCTCACACCACCGTGTTTATTTTTCACGGCATACTAGACTTAAACAAAAGGGGAAACCTTGCATTTGGCGCACCTTGCCTTTTTGAAGAGGAATGAGCAAACACATGAACTATGAAGTGAATTTATTAACAGCTCAACCTGTTATGATGACGGTGTTTAAATATATATTTTCAAAAGTTTGAACTCCAGTCGATTCTTCCGTGTCATTACAGAATGCACAAAGAACTGTTCTCCATTGAGGAGCAATCTTAGATAAATTGTTATTCACTGGTGAAGTGTTACGTTTGACACGTTTGACAGATTACCTGCACATATTTAACCAAAGAAAATGAAGTAAATTTACAATTTATTTTAGTATAACACTTTCATTCTTCTCCTTGAAACCCATATTTTTGATTGTATTTTTCAAAAGGAATCCTTGATGGATCAGAGATATCATTAGTTAATTATGATGTCTGGATCTTTTTGTTAAGATGGCAAAAGTATTGTTGTTAAGATATCTGAATATGTACCTGCCTTTGTAAATGCACTTCAAGCTTTGTGTTATTCAGCTTTTCAGTTATTTTTCACACAAAAGTTCAATTGCCGTCCTGTTAAAGCCTGTTTATTCCGGCCAGAAATATACTTTGTCATTCTTATATCACACATTGTTTGAGCTTCACTTATTTCATGGATGGGCTTGTAATTATTGCCAGTGTTGAAACACAAGTCAGTCTTATGTATTACTTAGTGTTCATTGAGACAATAATGGTGGTATCATGAACTCCTGGAAATCTCAGGATACATTATGGGGCTGCTTTCACTGTCAAGCAAACGCAAGCATTGGGGAACATTTTTTATCTAGAAGATATTTATGGTAATAAACACCCAAAGGCTGACACAAAACACAATTAACAATTATTATTACTTTTTACAATATAATATAAATCCTTTTACACACCAACATGTTGACTGGCTTTCCTAATTGGATTGTTAAATGGTGCTAAGCCGGGGGGTTTTAGGGAATCAACATCAAACCTCTGGTATACACTTCATCATGATGAGTAGTACATCTTATTCTGACGTAATGCTCCTGGTATGCCTCTTTTCTTTTGAAACTAGATCACATATGACACTGGAGTCGATAATGCGTAGTAACAAGTACTTTTGCGTATATGTAATATTCTATAGCAGTTCTCAAAGGGCTGATTTTTCAGAGCCTGTGTCTTTGTGTATTTCTGACGGTGCTGCTTTGATAGATTCTCTTGGGTATGCTTACTCGAATAACAAAGGCATCTTTCTCCACTACTTGACCTTGAGTAGTATTTATCCATGTACACAGTGTTGGTTTTATCTGCTGAGGTTCCTAGATATCCGTTGGATACTTTCTTACATCACCCTAGCAGAATGGAGATCGAAGAAATTGTATTATTGCTGCTTAAGGCCAATCAGTGTGGAAATATTGGCGTCGAAATTGGAGAACATGTTACACACTCGCGCTAGAAAGATGCATTCATAAGAGGATGAATAAAATCCACTGCCACATGTATTCTGAAATAACATTTTGTTATTCTGTTTTTTATTGAAATACATCCCCGTTCTGAGGAATGACTTTTTAAAAACTTCTTCCAGAGACGGTGTTCTGGTTAATTACAATCATTTCGAGCTGTCATCAGTGTTCCCCCACTTTCTATACACAGAGTATACATTACTGCTGACCATTTTTCTAAAGCGTACAGTAGCTTTTCAAATGAAAAATCATTTATTACCGTATTTTTAGTTACAGAGATTTAAAACCTTGCGAGTGACTATCGCGTTTTTCTGAAGCATTACTGATAAAAAACGATTTGTTAAAAGAACTTGCGGTCAGAGCTTTTAAATTTAAATGGAACGTTGTATATCTGAGAATTGAGAGTGGGCTGTGAAACAACAACTATTGTAATGCAAACAGGGACCAAATTCACATTGTGCCTGTAATGACATCAATGTTTGTTTCTTATGTTTTTTCCAGGTCGGATTTCCTGACAGCACAGCAGTGATTGCAGTGCTGTTAGGCAACAATCGCTTAAATCTGGGATATTGTAGCCTCCGATCGGCACCAACCCGTTATTTAATTTTTTTCAACAAAGTGTGTTTTCACGACTTTATCCTAAAAAGAAATGGTCAGCAGAAATGTAAAGTTTACATTGTTTGTAGTTAGTGGGTTAAACGTGAAAAGTACTGTGTTCCATTGTAATCCCCCCCCAGCATGCGCTTACCAATGACCATGATGTCAAATTCACATGTGGCAGTGTGTTCATTTTCCTCAGTGTTTTTCTTGTCGTCCTTTTTCCCAGAAGCATGTTAAATGAGATACAGGGCTCTGGCCTGTTACTGCTGCTGTCGTCTGGCATTCTTATTCTGTAATGCACCTTTTACAATAAACTCTCGTTGGACATTTACCGCCAATTGAACATTTCAGTCATCCTTTCTCAAGTGACCTGCATGGACAATCCACTTGGAGATCAGTGTGCGTAATGCAGGTAGCTTGGTGAGAACGGGTCAATGGGGACAGACCATTTTCTGGACATTGGATGATTTGGAGCCAGTGCTTTAGGCTGTTTGACTCTAATGTGTTTGCGCGTTAAAAGGGTTTTAAGAGGAACTCATCACATGAGTGGTGAAAACACAATATGGCATTAAACGCATAAACCTCACATTTTTAAAACATCCTTATCAGGAACTGTATCGGATCATTGGTAATAATGCTTGACTGCAGTATTATAAGTGGTTGAAATTACATTTCATTACGAGTAAACTTGTATGTTCTTTGTTAGTATCCGATATCCTACATTTTCTTTGTTTGTCCCAAACAGAATATTAACTCTCTTGGGTTCAAAACGATTTTTAACTCACAATTTGATTAACAAGATATCAATGTATTTACTATTTCACATGAAAAAAAAGTGTCGGACTCAAGCAAGCAAAAACATTGTAGAAAATCTCTCCCCCTTTCCTCAAAATAAAATAAACCAAGACTGTCTTTTTCTGTGAAGAGTACTTGTAATAAATTATTTCTCTTGAAAATGTCTCTGTATCAGTTTTCTTTTTTTTCCTGCTTTTCTGAATGTTTATCTTACAGTGTTGTGGCACTTTCTCTGACTGATTTCAAGACTATTATTTACTTATAATGTAGATTGAATCAAGGTCACTGCTCAGATTCAACCTGTGATTAGTTTATGAACTATACGACTTTTGCATTCTAAAGATATCTTATAAGGGTATTATTGAAATCAAACTTAGATATGATTTTGTCTAACAATAAAGTATAACTATATCCAGCTCAAGATTGAACTTCAGGTACCTTCTCCTTCTTTTCTACTTTTGAAAGAATCGCAAAGAAAATGCTTTTGGCCCAAATCAAAGCCAACTACTCCTCGGGCGATGATATCTCTTCAGACGAGGAGACGCAGGAGACATCTGACTCGGAGGATGATCAGGCGGTCAAAAAAGGCAATAAGGATAATAAAACAGATGAAGGTAAGTCGGTTTTTTTAAGTAGCAAATTCTTTGCTTCCTGTCCGTGCATCTTTTTCATAAGCACATGTACTCCTATCCTATTTCAGTCGTTTTGCTTTATAGTGGAATTACATTTTTCTTTCCAACCAAAGTGGTGACGATTGTAAAGATGGCTCTTGTTGATTAATAAAAGGGAAATAATAGTTGATATCTCTGCTGCAGGGGAAGACTCTGCTGCAGGGGAAGACTTTGATACCGAATCTTCTGACGCCATGTCTGATGGGCCCACCTCCAAGCACCATCTTCTCCGCCACGGACTGACCTTGGATGACGGAGCGCCTGTTGATAAGGCTGGGGCAGAGAGTGAAGCAGGAGAGCCAAAGAGCAAGCAAAAAACCAGCAGAAAACTCCTAAACTGTAAGTCTGACCTTAGAAACGTAGCTGTCTGAACAGGAACTTCATACTTTGCTCTAACATCTGATATCGATGTCTGTCAAGCTGATAGTGAAAGTGATGCTGAGAGCAACGAGTCGGAGCAGGAGGACGCCGGGATGAGCGAGGAGCTGAGTCTGTCAGAGAACGAGGACGGTGACGACAAACTCAAAAGGTACATACGTTTCAGCTCCCATTGACACAAAGTGTAGCTCAAGGAGAGTGGTCAAGATTTTTGTATAACGTATTTAAGTCAACAGGCGTGGAATGAATCTATTTCAAAATAATAATATTGCTAACGAACATACACGACCAAGAAAAATACAATATACAATAAAAAGAGAAAACATTTGAACACTACATTGGAACTCAGAGAGGAAGTAATTCATTATCGACCAGCAATATTAATAATACTAATCCTAAAATAATAGTCATTAGATACGAGATAAATATTATTATAATATAGATCATTTACAGTAACGTATGGAAGCCTGTTTGCGCCACAGGAAAAAAAAATCAAAAAATGTCCTGTAAGTCATTATAATGACTTAGTTATCTCATTATATTGACTTAAGTCAATATAATGAGATAGCTAAGTCAATATAATGAGATAGTAAGTCAATATAATGAGATAACTAAGTCATTATAATGACTTACAGGATTTTGATTTGCAAACAGGCTTCCATAGTAATGCAATACATTTGAATGCTTTTAAAAAACATTTGCGCATGTTCCATATCATATTATGTTCCCACGTATTGTACATTTTGAAATTAGAATTATGGTAAAAATTATATTTCAGATTGTGCATGTTTACCCCTAGTGCACACCAACTAAGCAAGTTTAATGCATATTCCTGTTATAATAGCCAAGAGCATTAACAATCAAAATATGATGACACAAGCATTACAAATCAACACAATTTAACATTTAAATTACAAATCCCACTTCTTTTAGAGCACATTTTAAGCCGAATATTTAAATTCATGTGGCTGTGTAAAGGTTACGTACATTTTAATTCCTAATCCTCTTCTCTTTCCATCTCTAGAGGATCCAGTCAAAGGAAGGAGAGGCCTCATGAGAAGCAGGCAGTGCCCTGCATTTGGTTATCTGACTCCAACAGTGAAAAGGTAGCAGTTGACCTATAACTACCTTTATTATTCTTAAACTCCAGAGTTGTGTCTAACAGTCACATCTTTTGTTCTATACTTCTGTTTTTTTTCAGAGTGATAAAGAGGATGCAGGTGAGGAGAACAGCGACGGTAAAGGCACCCCCAAAGGACGCAAAAAGATTCGCAAAATCATCGATGATGTGAATCTCCGCGCTGAGACGCAGGAAGCCCTCAGAGAGGAAGAGGAGAGACGCAAACGTTTGGCAGAAAGGGAACAACAGATGAAGGACAGGAGAACGGTACTGAACACACAGCAGACCATTAAACTGCACTCTGTTAATGACCAATGGCTCTTTACAGCAGTTCATTTCTGCAGCAGGGCTTGCTCATTAGACTCTATGTCCCTGTTGATAAATGACATGTAGCTCAGTACAGAGCATTTATGTTGCTGAAAGGATCACTTTTATAGGATGTTTTATAGGTGTTGGGGTTTTCCTAAGACGAAATGCTGAATGTCATCATTGTATTTCAGATAACTATCCCAGATGATGATGATATCCCGTGTCCCATCACCATCAAGCTGATCCTGGATCAGGACAAGGAGAACAAAAATCCTCTCGTTCAGGTGCACAGGAACCTGGTGACGAGCCTGAAGCCTCACCAGGTGGATGGTTAGTTTGTGCTCTTTTCACTCGTACTGAGGAGGACAAGGTTTACTATTATGCACATGCATGCTGACAGCAATAACAGCATTAGATTAATACAGTTGAGTCTGATGCTATTTGCACTCGGGTGACTAAAGTGAACAATGCTTTTGGCATGAGGGGTTTATATAGCCACAACTGTTAAAAATGCCATTTTTAATAGTAACATTGGAATTATCAATCAATTAAGCAATGTATCTGTGTTACCTTGAAATCTTCGAGTTTTTCTTTTTCTCACATGACTCCATGGTGTACAAAAAGTCCCAAAATGCAAAAAAAAATCTAGATGAATTGAAGTAAACATCTACTATTCATATGTTTTTGGACTCTTTGTTCAGTGCTATGCCATGTGAAAAACAACCCATTATGTTAAAGAATTCACATAGTTGACACCAATGGTTGTTTTGGGGATTGAGAATACCTTTTTTAATGCTGATAAATATTGTGATTAACAATTTTTAGTGTCCCATTTATGTGTTAAGACAATGCTAACCGTGATCTCTTTACTCTCCAACCAAAGGCGTCCAGTTCATTTGGGACAGTTGTTGTGAGTCTGTGAAGAAGGCCAACTCTTCTCCTGGATCTGGCTGCATACTGGCACACTGCATGGGCCTTGGAAAAACTCTGCAGGTGAAGAAATACACACCCCCAATATTCTTCTTTGCTTTGACTTATCCAAGACGAATTACATATTGAATTACTTTAGGTATTGATTATAATTGTAGTTTGCTGCTGTTACATCACACACAAGTATTCTGTATTGACTGTGGTAAGTTGTCCATGCTTCATATTCATACCTGTGTTATTTTACAGACGGTAGCCTTCCTCCACACGGTGCTGCTGTCGGAGAACCTAAGATTCAGAACGGCCCTGGTCGTTTGTCCGCTCAATACCATCCTCAACTGGGTCAACGAGTTCAGTAAATGGCAAAAAAACTTGGGACAGGATAAATTAAAGGTGTGCAAACAATTAAATGGGCAATCCTAAATGTTGTGCTTGAGACATTTTATGCTTCACACTTGTAAAAATGTTACAGGTCACAGAACTGACGACAGTAAAGCATCCCCCAGAGCGAATCAGGGTTCTGCAGAGGTGGATGAGAGAGGGAGGCGTGATGATAATGGGCTATGAGATGTACCGCAACCTGTCTCTAGCCAAGAGAGATGACGAGGAGAGCAGGAAGGAGATAAAGAGCCTACTGGTGGATCCAGGTAGCGTGTTATTCAGTTATTCTTGTTTATGGGTCATTGTTTTTCTCATTGAAGCTGTTGAATCTGTAGCTTTTTTTGTCCTGTGTTGTCTTTTTATACAGGTCCAGACTTTGTGGTCTGTGACGAGGGACACATCTTGCGCAATGAAACTTCTAATATCTCCAAATCTATGAACGCCATCAAGACCCGACGGAGAGTGGTGCTAACTGGCACTCCACTACAGAACAACCTGAATGAGTGTAAGTCTGCACAACTGCATCAAATTACATAATGCCATACTTTCACAATATGATTGAAGGTATACTTTATCTATGATAATGGGGTTAATTGTTGAAGTCGCCCGCTTTCTAATATAATTTGAAGTCATGTGCAATTTCAATGTAGTAATCCGTGACCGTGGAGAGTGGAGGTTCGTTTCTCAGTGGATTTGTCATCTATGAAGGGTTTAAAAAAAAAAAAAGAGCCCCCATGCCCCTCGCAAAAATACGGGCAACATTTTAGAGCCCTAAATCCAAAATGGCTGCCATCACCGTAGGTTGAACATGAGCTTTTCAATGATTTGGCCTACAATGTTGTTCAATACTAGGGCCGGGACTCGATTAAAAAAATTAATCTAATTAATTACAGGCTTTGTAATTAATTAATCGCAATTAATCGCATTTTTTATCACATATAAATATTTGACCTGAGAACAGTGAGAAGCAATTTTTTTCACATGGATTTTAGTATACCATTGAATAATGACTGAATACATAAGCGTAAGCAACAAAACATTGTTTATTTTTTTCAAGGATGTACTTAACCAAGACCAACAGAAAAGTGCAATTTTTGCCATAAAGTGTAGCAATAGCATATTTAGGAATATAGTACATTTCAGAGATTCAGGTAGCCTATAGGTAGGTAGACCTTCTGTAAACTATAACACTTTGTTTTTTTAAGTAAAAGACAATACTTTCAAGTACATTCAGAACATTGGAAACCCTGACTATTAGAAAGCATCTCTCTGTTGCTTCAGAGGCCATAACAGACTTTGTTGATTTACCAACAGTTGATTTAAAAATCTAATCAATTTCAGTCCAACTCTCTCAATAACCTTGGCCAAAACAATAAACAGTTCAACATAAAGTGCCAGTTGCACCAACAACGTAATAAACAGTTCAACATAAAGTGTACCATTTAAAATAAAATAAAAAAGTGCCAGTGATTGACCTCAATCCCTCCTATTCTTCCAATATCCTGATGAAAAATAAAATCTCGCTGTTGCATAGGCCACTGTTTGATCAACGCGAATTGGGTGTGGGTCCTTGTACTCCGAGTCGGGCTAACGTCCACGCTAACTTGAGGCTTGATGTGCTGCGGCGATATGCGAATTCCTTTTTGCATAATTTGCAAACAACCGTGCTCTTATTGACGCTTCCATCCGTCCGTTTTTTAAAACAAAATGTCCCAT